TTGTTTTTTTTAATTTTTGAATTTTTATTTTATTTTATTTGGCTGACTAGCAATGAGTACACTAAAATTTTAATCAAACACAGCAGAAATACTAAGTAAATACTAATTAAATGCCTCGCTTTTTACAGGTTACAGCATGTACCAAGATAAAGTTATATGTGGGCGCATCTATAAAATGCCGGTTGGATCTAGAGGCAACGATGCAGCAGATGAACTGCCCAGAGGGGAATCGGCTCTGGCCACTATAGTGCCGGAACTTATAATACCAATCCCCTTTGGCTACGTTCATTCACTGGTACGTAGATACTTCAATGATTTACACGCTCAGCTTTAAAAAAATAGTAGACCGTAGACAAGCTAGGGGAGGCCCTTCCTGATATAAAAATTCGTCTAATCAAGGTTCCAATGAGAATGAACAAGCCACAGATCAGGATAGTAACATGGCTCTTTTAACAAATATTTTTTTACCATGGGTTTTACTGATAACCCCCTGTGCAGGGCACGCATAGGAGGGGAAGAAAAGGAGGCTCACGTGTTGCTGACATGTCCAGAGGTCAAACATCTTGCAACGTCAAGTGACTGTTGAACTTCTTCGGGGAGATATCAGGGCTCGAATAATCACATTATTCCTGCACACACGCGAAATACGCGCTTAGACGTGGAGTTGCGGAAAACAGCCCGTCGTAAACTAAACTAAACTATAGGCGTCGATTGTAGTTATACGCTATAACAAAACATACTATTGTAGATGTACCTCAATCACACAATTATCGAAGGCGTTCGTCCCTTCGACCACACATGGACCGGATAGAACCTTTCTCTTAAGCCAACTTTTACACACGCAAAATTAGTACGTCTCTACGACCAACCACTTGGGTCTGGCCCGGACTATACTGTTATTTACACTCTGTTTGACTAACCCGACTGGACCGAACGGATGTGTCCTTTCGACCAGCCACTAATGCTTAGCTCTGACGACATATATAATATTATCAAACGAAACAAAACAAAATATATTATCTAACAATAATACACCAAAAAAAAAATCATTCACCATTATTGATGTCAATGTTGAGCGCAGTCTTTCTAATTTTAGATACACGGATTATGTTACCATCCAGCACAGTAGAATTTGCCTCACAAACCTTGTAAAAACGTATATATAATATTGAGCAGTGTGACTAACGTATGTAATGTACGATATTGAGTAGTATGACCTAAGGTTTGTGGTGCATGCTGTGTGACTGGTATGGAATTATGTAAGCTTAGTGCCTAGACGAGGAAATGTTTTCGGGATTTTAAATTTTATTTTGGATAATAAGTCAGGGCAGTTGTGCGCGAAGTTGAAATTAACAAGCTTTCTTTTATATGAATTCCGTTTTTTAGACATGTTACAGCTGAAAGGTAGGTACTTATCAAATATTTTTACTATCCTTTCAATACGATTGATGTGATTTTTGTAAGTCTGTGTCCAAACTATACAATATTCAAGGTGACTCCTGACTAGAGAGTTGTAAAGTTTTTTCTCAATAACTATTCTTTTAAGGCTTTTCAATTCTCTTAATACAAAATCAAGCAACTGCGATGTTTTAGAAACTAAAGGATCAATATGGTTAACAAATTAAATTAAAAATTTAGAAAACATTCTTCAGTGCGTGCTACACCGTAATTATGATTGAAGATGGCATCAGGCGATTAGGTCAAATAATCATTTAATCATTTACTTATAATAAACATTTTAGTAAGCTAAAATTGTATAATAAAGGTAAATTGTATACTACTAAAGAGTAGAAAAGTGCCGATCGCCCCTGACAATGAGGTGATCGCTAACGTACTTCATTGTATAATTTATAATGTTGTAAATTACGTAATACAGACTCCACCACATCATACTACGTGTGACACCATTTCATATTAGTGGATGGCTAATATCTTCCTCACTTGAATCGGTAGACATAGCGGCAATCAGACTGGAATAAATTTTGTTAGTGCATTTCCAAAGCATGTAACTTATAAATTTTGAAATGGTAATTCCAATCCACAATTAATTACAAAATTCAGTTTAAATCTTCATTTTGCTTTAACTGTCTAATGGAAGTTTGGTGTAGTTTTACACTTGCAAATGATGTAATCCCCAAACCTTCTCTGCATTTGACTGCCCCGTCGGTCTAGCGGTAGTAAGTGCGACTGTTGATCATGGGATCCCGGGTTCAAATCCCGGATCTTTCCAAAATATGTAATTGGGTTTTTCTGTAAAGAATAGAGAATACACTTCTATTTGCGCACATAATCGTTCACTTTCATTGTTCTTTCATCTGCGCAGGCGCAGATGGACAGTTTCCGTAACGACTGACTACCGTAATCGAAACTTGGTTAGGAGGACGTTAATAAAACTGTGGGTTAGTATCAGACTATTACATTTCTATTGAATAATAAGTAACATTTTGTTTAGTTCTTAGCATTTATTTAATTCAGTTTTACCTTTATGATTAATACTTATTCTGAATTTGTAAAACCGAAACTTTGTTTTAAAATAAAAGAATAGTTTAAAAAACATAACATGTATTCATTGGTTGTGACTACCTATGTGGGACTACTAGGAAATAGTCGTAAAATTATTGTATTATCAGTTCTTTACATGTCTGTATAAGGTTATTATTTAGACGGCCGAAAATTAGTGAAAATTTAATCCTGAAACAATACAATTTCTGGACCAATATGACTTAGGGAGTTTTCCTGGTGTTACCATCAGGTGATCCGTATGCTCATTTGGGGGGCAAATGAGCATACGGAATCCCCCCATTTATAAAAAATCATACAAGCATATGGAGAGGAGAAATTAAGCAAAGGGTATTAAAATACAAATTATACAAAAAAACTTTTATTTATATGGAAGTATATCGAGTTAGTCTCGGTAATATGTTTATTACATGAAAAAGCCTTCGTTACGCCAAACAGATGTGTAACGTCGTAGTTGATGGTAAAATTTATAACTAATAAAAACCAATAAAGAAATAAAAGATCAAAAAATATTTTGGTTAATAAAATCAGTATTTTTTTTCTTATCGTATACTATACGCGTACGCACGTACAGGGATGTCGAAAGCGGTGAAGCAGAGAGGTCATAATTATGCTGTTTATCGTCACGGCATACGAGTCAATTTTACTGCTAAGGCGCGCCGATATATCTTTCGTACCAAAAATTCATCACACCTCTCGTCCCGTGTCACAAAAGTTGACCAATGTGCGCGCGGTGTAATCATCTCCTATATAACAGATATAAAATACTCAGATACGCGATAGGGTACTATTTCACGCTCTCACAGAATACCAGCGTGAAATAGTAGCTTAATGCTGCTGAATTTTGTATGGTGAGTGTAGAGAACCGGAGACCCTTTTTACTGGAAACGAGGCATTCCATCTTAGTCCTCACGGGTGACAACGCATCTGCATTTTTATTTGTAATCGAGGATAGATGTAGATGTCTATGGGCCACAAAAAAAAAAAAAAAAAGGGAGCAACTTTAAACAACACTTAGCTTCATTCGGCGGCTCTGTGGCGATGAGGCTTAGCAATTAGTTGCAGCGCTAAGAACTGTTGCTGGTTCGAATCCCACAAGGTACAAGTATTTGTGTGGCCTACAAATATTTGTACCGGTCGGGATTAAATTTATATATGCCAACTTAAAAAAAAAAATGGAATGAAATACAAATCCCACATCGTCAGTAAATACAATCATCAATTATTTATTAATGTTATTAACACTATTCACATTCTCTTTAACCACTCATACGCTTAGTTCACGGCAGTAGTCGAAACACGGATTTGAACTTACGATCTTTCGATTTCGCGGTTCGCACCCTACCGTTAGGCTACTGTCACTTAAAATTATTTTATTAATCTTCGAAACTTTGATATTCTCGTTGTGATTATAGTTAACGCTTATTCTCCAACGACTTGATATCACAATTAGGTGAGCTCCTTATTTTTATTAAATAAGGGTAACTAACGAGCACACGGCCCACCTGATGGTAAGTGAATGATGTTTCCCGTAGGTTTTCACCATTGAGGACTACGAGGGAATGCTTCATTTCCAGTAATAATAGTCTTTGGTTCTCTACACTCATCATACGAAACGCTGCAGTATTGCTATTTAACGCTGGAGTTCTGTGAAAAAATGGTTCTTCGCCGGTCGAGCCGAACCATTCCTGCTACAACTATAATGTAGATGCAGCGTTGATTTACCAAGTGTAAAATCAAATGCTTACTATAACCATAATTTAAATAACATTAGAAACGCATCTTCAAAAACTAAAATTAATAAAATTATTTCCACATAATAGCCTCCGAAGTCCGGGCTCTGATTATTCAGTACAATACGTCTGAGCATATTATCTAAAATAAATTAAACAATCATACTCAACCAAATTTAAAAAAAAAATACCTTTTTACGTTGCAAATATCCGTTGTACAAGCATACTTCATCATTACAGCCCTTCACAAGTCCACTGCTGAATATAGGCCTCCCCCAAGGAATGCCACAAAGCACGGCCCTGAGCCACCTGCATCGATCGACTTCCTGCATATCTTATCAGGTCGTCACTCCATCTACTGGGGCGGGGTTACGCCCTACACTTCGACTGCCGGTACGATGCTGCCACTCGAGAACCTTTTTTTCCCATCGGTTATCGGTTCTTCGAGCTATATGGCCGGCCCATTGCCACTTCAGCTTACTAATCCGTTGGGCTATGTCGGTTACTCTGGTTCTACTGCGGATTACATGATTTAAAATAAAACTTTACGTAAATCAAATAATAATGAATCTACCTATATTTTATTACATCAAGTATAGTTCTTTATCGTTAATTCAAATTTGGACCTTTAAAACAAATCATTTATATACGTCAGTCTTGCGCGAGCTGTCGTCTGGCACACACATGTCGAAGACCGCTCAGTTCGTAATACAAGTTTTTTTATCAGTTTACCCTCAATGTTTAAATATGGATAGTGATAAACATAAATCGATAGATGGAAGTGATGAAAGTGATTCGGAAATCATACGTAAATGTGAATTAGAACTAAGCCAAATTGAGGATCGAAGAATCACTCGTGAATCTGAAATGGAACATGCAAACGCTGGGTTCACAACTCGAAAGCCTGAAGTGAGATCGGAGAAGAGAAAAGCATGTGAAGAAGATACAAACAGCGAAGATGGTTATGTGACAGTTGAAAAAAGAAGACCGAAACGTCTCTTAAGAAGTATTTCAACAGGACAGGGTCAAAATACAACATCGAAAGAAATCGGATCTAAATATGAGGTTTGTGTTACATCATTTAAAGAATTACCAAAGCAAATGGCGTTAGCTAAAGTATTAAGAAGTGAGAATATTCTGAATATTGAAACAATCAAATATAAGTCCCCTTTCAAAGTTTTGATTTGCTTTCAAAGTAATAATGATGCGGAAAAATTAATAAGTTGTAAAAAATTTCAAGAATTAGAGTACAAATGTCAAAAAACTTTTGAAACCACGGTTTCTTATGGATTGATTAGAGGTGTAGATTTGTAGTTTACAGAACAAGATATTTTAGCAATTTTGAAAAGTGATACCAAAATATTGGCGGTAAGACGACTTAAACGACTTGATTTAAATAGCAAGTGGGTCGAAAGTGAAACTGTAAGGATATGCTTTCAAGGCACTGTTTTACCTCTTTATGTCACGGCATATGAGTATAAATTTAAAGTGGAAAACTACACTTTTCCAGTAACACAATGTACCGGATGCTGGAAATTCGGACATATTATTAAAGTATGCCCGACTAAAAAAATTTTATGTCCTAAATGTGGTAGTACGGAACACATAAACTGTGATCTAAAAACATACAAGTGCCTCAATTGTAAAGGATTACATTTCGTTTTAGATAAAAGATGACCTACGTATCTCAAAGAAAAAGTAATACGTATCACTATGAGTAAGGAAAATATACCTTATAGAAAAGCTCTTCAGATGATTATAAATAAAAATCAAATAGAAATGAGCAATAACTTAAATATACACTCTAAAGATACTTTTGTCAATCAAGAGATGACAGAACAGCCGACACAAGTTTTGGAAAACCGTGGAGCTCGAAGTTATAGTCAGGTTGTTACTAACGCTCAAGTTCATAAGGAAAATAATCAAGAATTAGCCTCAGATGAAGGAACAATACTCATAGAAACAAATAAAAAGGAGAAGACAAAACAAAGGCAAAGAAAAGGAAGGAAAAAAATAAATACAATAGAAAATGATACGCAGTTTAAGGAAGCAGAAGAAGAAAGCCAAAAAAGTACTTCAGATGAAGAAGAAATAAGACAAAAAACATTTGATTTTAAGGGACTCTTATTAAAAATTCATTCTATTTGGTACTCTAGAAAAAGATTAGAGTATAAAGTTATTGCGGTTTTCATGGCTATTTTTAAAGTAATTAAAACATTTGTGAGTAGTTTAATATCAGGACGAAAAATTTATGAAACAGTTTTAAATTATATGAATAATGGATAGTACAAATAACAAAAATATCGCTATTAATATATTACAGTGGAATACACAAAGTTTGAAACCAAAATTGATAGATCTTGGGGAGCTTTTGGTAAAAGAAAAAATACACATAGCCATACTAAGTGAAACATGGTTAGATAACGATGATAATATTAATATTAAAGATTATAATATCTATAGACGGGACAGTTATGACTCTTATGGTGGAGTTGCAATCGTTACACACAACTCACTTAAAAGCGTAGTAAGTATAATTCGATTAACTAACCCAGGCATAGAAACCGTATGTGTTAAATTGCAAAATTGTGATTTCTTACAAAATATTATATCAATCTATTGTCCATCTTCAGTTAGAACTCAGGTATCAGAATGGGAGGAGCTATTTTCCCTCTTCCCAAAAAAATCGTTAATAGCAGGTGATTTTAATGGGCACCACAGCAATTGGTCGTACAAAAACGATGCACGAGGGGTGCAATTAGTAGACGCATCGGTAGAACATGGTTATTTTTCTCTTAATAATGGAATGCCAACAAGAGTTAAACTTGTCAATGGGTTTTTACAAGAAACTTCCCCAGATGTTTCTTTTGTATCAAATGATATTGCTATAAATTTCGATTGGAAGGTGCTCAATGAAAATCTAGGCAGCGATCATCTATTAATTAAATTAAGTACTAAAATCCCAAAACACTATAATGGCATTCAGAAACGTAATTTTAAGAAAATTGATTGGGTAGCATATACTAACATAATTAAAGAATCCTTTAGCGATGATTTATTAGATATTGATATATATGATGAAACATGTATTCAAGAAATGTATAAATTTCTACTTTCTCAACTTGATAAAGCGGCTGATGCTAGTATACCTACTATAAAAGTACGCATTGATCCAGCAACAAAATTTAAACCCCGAAATTATTGGAACCCAGCCCTGTCTAGAGCAGTTGCTCAAAGAAGATTAGCCCTTCTGAATTTTAGACGTAATCCAACTCCCAACAATTTGACTCACTTAGAAGTAAAAACTAAAGAAGCTAGTAAACTTATAGTAGATGCAAGACGTAAATATTGGCAGAACTTTTGCGATTCGATAGATGGAGAAACTTCAATATCAAACATGTGGCAGCGCATGCGATGGATGAAGGGTATTCGTAAACAAAAATCATTCATTCCATTAGATCAGCAAGAAAAGCTTCTACTTTCACTCACACCGGATACTGCTACCGACGTATGTCCCAATTTTATGTCTAAAAATCCTTCATTAGAGACTGATTTTACAATGGCAGAATTGAAAAGTTGTCTTAAAAAAAAAAGATACTGCTCCCGGAGATGACGAAATCACATATAGTATGATATATAATCTTCCCGATATCGCCAAAAAATTTCTTTATAACCTTGTGTTCAGGTCTGGAAATATACCAAGTCAATGGCGTAATGTGCTGGTTATACCTATACCAAAAAATAGTGGCCCATCTAATTCTGATGTTAAGCTGAGACCAATTTCCTTAGTGTCATGTCTTTGTAAAACTTTCCACATTATGATGCTCAAACGACTAGAATGGTTCATTGAAAAAAATTGCGTATTTTCGCCATTGACAATTGGATTTAGGAAATCACAATCTTGCTTAGACTGTCACTCTCGCTTGGTAACATTTATACAAATTGGATTTACACAAAATATGCCCACTTTAGCTTGCTTTTTGGATATTGAAAATGCTTACAATAATGTTGATATAAATAGTGTCTTAAAAATATTAGATAACCTACAAGTTGGTAGTAGGTTTTGTACATATTTGTGGTCATTCCTAAGCAAAAGAAATTTACGGGTAAAATCTCAAATTGAAAATAAAGTACTTAAAAGAAGCACAAATAAAGGATTAGCACAAGGAGACTCAATATCCCCTTTCCTATTCAATATAGCGACTTACAGAGTCTGCCATTTAATATCACAACACAACGTAAATATTATTCAATATGCTGATGACTTTGTTATTTATATAAAAGACAAAGATTTAAAAATTTGCGAGTCAAAGATCAAAAACGCGTTATATTGTATAGTAGAAATATTAAACGATCTAGGTTTACAGCTGTCAACTGAAAAAACAAAGTTATGCCTGTTTAGTCGAGGACGTAGACGAGTCCTGCCTAAGGTAACAGTTAACGAACGCTCACTGACTTCCTTAAATTGCTTTAAATATTTGGGGTTGTGGCTAGATAGTAACCTACTCTGGAACAAACACATTAATGAGATTACAGAAAAATGTAATAAGTTTTTAAATATACTAATGGTAATATCTGGGTCATCGTGGGGAGTTCATCCTAAACATATTCGTCAGCTGTATTTTTCGTTAAAAAGAAGTAGAATCGATTACGGTAGTTTTTTATTTGATAATTGTGCTAATGTTCACTTATCAAAATTAGATAAAATACAAAATAAATCGTTAAGGGTTATTGGTGGTTTTATCAAAAGCTCTCCAATACATGTAATGGAAAGCGAACTTAGTGTACCTCCATTGTATATTAGAAGATTATATCTAGCTTATAAATATGTTTTAAAAGCCAGCTCTTTTTCGAATAATATTTCAATTGATTTGTTGAAGCAGCTTAGCAGTCTCTGTGAAACAAGATATTGGCAACGCAAGAAAATCCCACTCTTAGTTAAATCTTACAATAAGATTAAAGTTATGAAAATACATTCATCTCCTTTTCTCGAATCATTTTCGCTTAACACTTGGCTGTCTCGCATTGATATTGAAAATATAATATTAAGTGAATTAGAGTCTGTTACACAATCTAAAAAAATTCTATGAAATAAATTCTCTTAAAGTCAATATTATCAAAGAACTTGACAATAAATATCACGATTGGCATAAAATCTATACAGACGGATCAAAGAGTGCTAAGTTGCAAGGGGCAGCTTTTCTTGACCCATCTCAAGCAATTTCTAGATCATATAAAGTTACAAATGACGTTTGTATTATGACCCTTGAACTCATTGCAATATCCGAAGCCTTAAGATATGCCGCAAGCTATAACTGGAACAAAATTATCATTTACTCGGACAGCAAAACTGCTATCCAACATTTGGCTCGATCCGCCTCTGGAATCAGAGGTGTTTCGATAGCCTATGACATACTTTCGCAAATAAATCAGTTCAGTCTATGCGGCATCGGTGTAAGGGTGCAATGGATTCCAGCACACAATGGTTTATTGGGTAACGAGGAGGTGGATAGATTAGCGAATTCTGCTTGCATAAATGGTGTAGAGTATTATATTGATTCTTGCTACTCAGAAATATTACCAAAAATAAAAATTTCATGTTATAATAAATGGAAAGAATTTTTCAATGAACGTTCTAAAACGAAAGGTATTTGGTATAAAACGATACAGAGTGAACCGCCTCGAATACCTTGGTTTATGGATACCAAATTAAACAGAAATACTATTAAATTAATATTTAGATTAAGAGCAGGTCACATTCCATCAAAAAAAATTTCTTACTTGATGAAAAGAGCTGATTCACCTAACTGTGAAATTTGTGGAGTAATTGAAGACATACATCATTTTTTAATGGAATGTGAGCGCAACCGAGGTGCAAGGGAATTATTTGTAAGAACATATAATATAAATGTGTACAATATTGGTGTTGCTCAGAGTATCCTACATGCCCCCACCTCGGATATTGCATTAAGTATGTGCAGGTTAATAACAAATGTATAGATTTTAAGTTAGCTTTAATGGGATTGACATGTTAACGAACAAAAATCCCTAAATAAAACCAGAATAAAAAACAAATCATTTATATAAAAAATTTACCATAATGAATTTAAACTTTTATGTTTGACCTTGTTTCAATTACATTACGTCATTATGCACCTTATCGTAGTTTTCGGATGATTCAAAACTTCTTATTTGTTTATTAAAATTTTTTAGAGTTGCATTATTTAAATAAATCATGAATTAAACAAGTCTAAATGGTTATAATTTCTGTGGATCCCACTTTGGTGAAGTTTCGAGTAAGTTTAGAAGATTGC